CCTGATTGTCCCGCGTCCACCATGATATCCAGAGCACAGGTCCTGATCGCCCGGAAAAAGGCGACTCAACAGCTGCCTGAACTAATTAATTAGCAACGTTAAGAATAAGACGTTTAAAGAAACAGAGTATAAATGATGACACACGGTTATTGTCATATATCATATATTACACATATGGTTGCTCTCGTCTTTCCGTTCTCGTGCCAATATGTTTGGCTTATTTTTTTTTTATTTAATTTTATTTTTTTTTTGTCTGCTCCTCACCTGTCCCTCATTATCTCTCGTTTGCCATCAGGTACTTATGCTCCTCCCTCCCCTCAGTCTTAACGCCGGTTTATCCGTTACTTACTACGAGGTACTGGTCCTGGTCCTGCTCACACGCCATGAGTAAGCTTCTCCTGAACTCTTGGCTCGGATTCATCGAATTCAAACCCAAAGCTCTTTTGCTAAGCGGTACAAGACGAACTCCAGTCGACCTCCCGTGAGTAGTCCTGCCTGTCTGTTGCCTTGTCTACAGACAAGCTTCTGGCTACACACCACGTTCCTAGGTGTACTCACCTGCGACGCCGGGAAGCAGCCTCCGAGAATGTCCCTGCCTGCCTTCAACCCGATCATCTGTCCTACTCTGGCTAACTGTCCGTGGGCCAACTCCTCGTGGGCTAACTGTCCGTGGGCCAACTCCTCGTGGGCTAACTTCCGTGGCCCCCTAGTGCCGCCGTCCTTCCTGCTTACACGTCGCTCCGCCTCATCAGCTCGCCTGAAATCCAGACAAGGTGTCTGCCACGGAAAAAGCATTTTTGACCCTGTAAATATTGGCCTAATGTGTTTAATTTCTTGTAATTGTAAATTTAATTCAGAATGTCGCCTCGAATTTAATGTGATACTTGGTGTTTGTATGTAAATTTGTATTTGTACATGTACATTTTGTATGACAATACCCAGTATTAACTACACTAAAGCACTGCCTTCACACATTGATGACACACATGGCCTTAACCTACAGTACCTGTAGACCACATGGCCTTAACCTACAGTACCTGTAGACCACATGCCTAACAACTAACCGTTATCCTGACCTAAACATGTAATGAATTACGTCAAGGGGACTTCCTTTTTGTCCATAAAAGGTCAAGGTCCCACAGTGTGACTCTGCAAACAGATCTCTGTCCCCACAAGACACAACCACACAGATGTTACCATGGTCGGTCTCTGAGAGGTGATGGTGGCACAGGCTGGAGCTTGTGCTGCTGTTCAGCTACTACCACGTTGTCTGTGAGGTGTGTGTGTGTGTGTGTGTGTTTTACCCCACCCTCACTGATAACAAACGGAGTGGACACATCAGAAGTGGCTGTCAGTCAACAGCAGCCTGCACAGCCTCATATTTCTACTGAAGCAGTCAGTAGAAATTCGGTGAACGGCGAAAGCTCAGTGACCTCTTTTCAAACAGGAACAAAGGTTTGGATTTTATGTCAGATTTTTAGTTATTTAAATGTTTTGGCTTCAACAAAGTGTGAGTTCACCCAACAATGTGGAGCTGGGAGCAAGTGAATAAAATGTGGAATTAGAAATAAATATTTTGTGAGACTTAAGTGAAATAATTTGATGTTTCCAATAAATTCTGCAGATCTTAACTGCATTTTTCTTAGTGTTTTTTTCTGTTTGGCTCATTAAGTTTGCTTTATTCAGGAAATACTCATTAAACACATTGTTTTCTTTTTATTATTTCAAACTAAAAGACATTTTGACACCTTATGTGACGTCATTTATTTGCTGCCAAGCCGTTTGTAAAGTTTGGTGTTTTAGACTGAAATGTTTGCCAGATGGGGCCTTTTTACTTTTAATTAGCTCTCAATATGGCGGTTTAACTTTATCTCTGAGTGTGTGTGTGTGTGTGTACAGGTACACAGGTACAGGTAGAGGTACCTATGGAGCCAGAATGAGCCTTCTGTATTGAAACACACTCCACCCAGTGAACAGGTGCAGGGCACCAACCTGCCCATTACACTCACACCTGCTACAGGCTCGACTCGACTCCAGTCAAGTCAGAAGGAGTCAGAGCCGTAAGCCCCGAGGCTAAAAGAAAATGGAAAGTTGAAACCTGCTAAATAATTTCTTGGCCAACTAGGGCCCAAAATCCAACAGTGTGACCAACTGGTTTTTTATTTCAGCGAGACATAAAATCACAAAACGATGACTGTTGTGGTAGTGGGAACGGGGCAGGACCCAGTAAAGATGTCTGGAGACCGGAGAGTAGCTTCAAAGAATTCTTTATTTCATGCATGGAGAGAAGTCGTACACAGCTTTGCAGTTGCACAGAGTTCTCCGATGAACTGATAAAGGGGCAGTCCCTTTATACCAAAGTGATACAATACACATCTATGAAACTCGTACCATTATCTCACATCTATGAAACTCGTACCATTATCTCACATCTAACAACTCGCATCCCTTCTCCAGCTGCCTTTGCAACATCATAAGTACAACGAGGCCTTGAAACTTGGTGAGATCTCCACACTCCCTTTTATTCTTGCAATACACATTCATGGTGTTCTGTAAATGAATTTTGCTTGCAATACTCAAACTATGCAAACTCAACCGATAAGCTGTTCAAAATTAATTAAAGCTGACTGATAAGCAGTGCAAAAATGATTACAGGTCCTGGGACCATTAGATTTGCAAGTTTCACATTGTATCCTTAAAAAAACAAAACAAAATCATCAGTTTCTGTGTGAAGTGACCTTTTAACATTATGATGTACCAATGTCTGCTGTTAACATTGCTGCCTCAGTTGCTCCTTTTGTTCAAAACCATAGTTAATCCCTTACCAGTGTAGTAGAGTCATGGGTCAACTGCAAAAGGCGACTGTTTTTTTAAGAAATGGCAGTAAATGACAGGAACAACCGCCGGGTGGCGCTACAGGCTGCTGCTAATTATGAGGAAAAACACTCAAAGCTGCAGTTTTCAAAGTGAACGTTAACAAGTGTTTTGATGAAAGTTTCACTTCGGAGGCAGGAACTTTGTTTCAGTGTTTGTGATAGGTGAGATGTGACAGATACAGGAGGTGAAGGTCAAACCAAAGATTGTTTATTAGCACGATGCATCACTTCAAGAAAAAAAAAGCCCCCCACATAGTAAGTTATGGAAAAAATGTTTCTTTAAATGTCATCTTCTACAACATCACAGACTCAACGAACAGAGCAATAATATATAACAAATACTTTTACTTTCATTAGGTGCATTTTGCTGGTAATACCTGTGTACTTTGTAAATGTAGGACTTTTACCTGTATTTTTACACTGACTCAGTAAAGGTACAGCACCACTGGAGACCACTTTCAGTTTGTTACTGGGAGTGTGTCCTTCTCCTAGGGTGAAACAAAGTGCTGATATTTCCTGACACATTGTGCGTTTGGTTTTACAGGTGTGCTGTTACTGTGGTTACCTGACCTCCATGTAGAGGAAGCAGCTGGAGGGAGATGACGGCGCTGTCCTCATTTCAGTCAGAAGGTGACACCACTCATCCCATTTGTTCTCTCGTTCAGTCTGACTGTAAAAATGTGACAAAGTGCTGCAGAGGCTGCTGCTCTATATTGTACTTATTATCAACGGATCCCATGTCCAGACTCAAACCAGCAATGAACATTTAATAACAAGTTGTGTGTGTGGATTGATGCAGGCAGGTGACAGGTGAAAGGACGACCCAACACAGAGTCCCAGTGAGGTGCTGGGCTGCCACGGGCCACCAGAACAGCTCCACCTTGGCACTGACTCTCCAAGTCTCTGAACTCACAGCATCTGGTTCATATCATGGTCATCCTGCTCAGACCAGTCAGTGGCCCCTGGTGTCCTGTGGATGTGGGACACTGTTGTCCTGGAGGAGACCACTCCCACACTGTAGAATTGTTTGTATCTTGTTTGAATCTTGTTGGACCACACAGCAGTACAGTGGTTAGTGCTGTTGACTTGTAGAAAGAAGCCTCCAGGTTCAAGCCCTGGCCTTTCTGTGTGGAGTCTGCATGTTCTCCCTGTGCCCATGTGGGTTCTCTCCAGGTGCTCTGGCTTCCTCCCATAGTCCAAAGACATGCAGCTTAGGTTGACTGGCGGCTCTAAACTGTGTGTGGTTGTGATGTCTACCCTGTGACAGACTGGCAACCTGTCCAGGGTGGACCCCTCGTCTCGCTCAGTGTCAGCTGGGACTGGCTCCACCTTGTATTTGTGCAGTGGAGGGAAAAATCTAATTTTTCACATATATATAAAAGTGACTGTTCCAAAATCAGAAAATCTCTGTATTTCATTTGATAAAAAGCAAATAAATAAAATAAAAAATGTATTTATATCTTTGTTTTAATAAAAACATTGCTGCAGGTAGTGCAACAACACAGTGTGTGTAGGATGGGTAAGTTAAAGATTTTGTTTAAAATAAGGATTAAAACACTAAGAAAATCAACTTAAAATCTGAATCAACAAGGGAAAAAACAGTACAGATGAAACTGACTATACATATTAACACAGAAGTGTCAACATGTACATACACCGTCTGTTTTCAAGATGTTATTCAACAGCCGAACACATTATTTCTACAAATGAACTCAAGTGCAAAATATTAAGATAATATAGCTACAAATTAAATAACACATTAAAAGGCGGAAATACAAATTTAAAGAACTAAATTAGGTTTAGTCTGTTTGTGTAGGTTGGTGCTAAACACTGAGGCAGAGTGAGACGTCTTCTGTTTTTCCCTATCTTGGAGGAACTCGACCACAGTCTTCAGAAGGAGACGGAGAGAGGTGCAGCTCTTTGGCTCTTCCTCCGTTTTAGCCAACATCTATGTCCGTGCATTCACCGATGGAGGACAGAGGAGGAGGAGGGTATCACCGGGCAGCTAAGCGGCTCCGAACGGAAGAGGAGGCCGGCGGAGAGGAGCTGGAGGACGGGGAGGAGGAGGACTCCGCCGGTGAGAAGGCAGCGAGGAGCGGAGGCAACAAGAGCAGCAACTGGAGGTGCGGAGGGAAGGTAGGGGGCAGTTTCTGTCAGCTTAGAATATGAACACTGATGGAAACGTGCGAGTCGGTTTCAGGAAGGTTTCCACCAGATTTCAGGTCAAATACGATGGAAATAAGAAAACAGAACAATAACAGAGGAATCAGTGAAAGTCAGGTTCTTCTGAGCTGAAACGTAAAAATCTTTTCTCAAACTGCTTCTCATCATTTTCACAAACGACTTCACTAACGAACCCACGTCACTGAGGTCTGAGTTTGTAGAATACAAACTTCACCCACAAAACCAGTGTCTTCACTGAACACAGAGCCAGGAAACGGGTTCCTAATCGTCCTGCATCAGTGACAGGACGACTGAGTCAGGTGCTGGCAGCTGGGGGAGGTCAGTCTGCTGAACTCAGAAATAAGAGTCACCTCTTGGTGGGAAAGAGGTTCCCGAGGGTGATGAGGGTCCTCTGTAGGAGGACTCCGGGGTCCTGGAGGAGGTCCTCCTGCTCTTTCTACAGGGGTCTACAAATGAGCCGATGGGCTCAGGGGCCAGTCTTCCTGAGTTTCACTGGCTTCATTGGGAGGTGCTTGGATTGTTTGAAGACATTCTAGCAATCCTTCAGTAAGTTCAGGAGGATTTCTTAGGCCCCTAGACTGTTATGTCAACAGGGGGTCATTCACTGCAGTCATTATCTGACTGCTTAAAGGAAATAAAATTATGGTTAGCATCTAATTTCTTGTCTAAATGAAAGTAAGACTGAGTGATTTGGTGATTCTGCCGACATAGGGGTCGGATCTGGTTACTAGGCCTTGTCAGTCCGTGGTAAAGACTTTAGGAGTGTTTTTTGATAATGAGTTGAAGTTGGATGAGCACATTAGTGCGGTGGTACCAGCTAGCTTTTCCCAGCTTTGTGACCTTGAGAAAGCGATTGGTGCCTTTATTAACTCCAGGCCTGATTAGTGTAATGCGCTGTGTGTTGGACTCGGTGACTCCTCAGTTTTTCCTCCCTATCTCACCGAGCTTTTAAGTACCCATAGGTTTCCTAGACCTCTCAGATCAGCTAATCTGGGCTTACTGGAAGTCCTGAGTACCAGATTTGAAAGGTGGGGGGATCGAGTCTTGTGGTTGCTTGCTCCCAAGTTAGGGAACGGTTTGCCCCTTGAATTGTGCTCAGTATCAGACGTGTGGTCTCCATTAAATCCAAGTGGACAACGTACCTTTTTAAATTAGTGTTGAGCTCCAGGTAGTTTATTCAGATTACTCCTGTGGTCTGTGTGTGTGTCGCTTTCTTGTATTTTGTTTCCACTGCTATTGCTATTGGGTATTGTGTACCCCGCCTTCGCCCGGTTGCCGGCCGGGATTGGCTCATTGTTTTATTTCAGTCACTTTTAGAGGCAGGAAGTGGAAAAACATTGACAGTCATTCATAAAGTAGCAAAGATTAGAGGGAATCCAGGAGGGATCCTAGACATTTTTGAACAGAGTACAACAGACCTCTGTTTTCCCTCCTGTGTGTGAGGATCCCGGACGCAGGCGTTGGATGGACAGTCACTCTAAGGAGGAGGTGTTAGGAGGTTCAGTGGGATCACTGGGAGGCTGCACGAGGTTCTGTATTAGATTGGCTTGGTGTCAGGGTCTCTATGCAGGCTCGTATGTGGATGTGTGGACCTATTTGTGTTTGTTTACAGACTGTTGGAGGGTTATGATCAGTGTGTTTGTTTACCACTTCTCTGGCTCCGTGCCTCTGCTTGCTGGGGCAATATGGCGTCTCTGTGAGGTTCTGACAGTGACATGAAGTGCTTTCACTCAACAGGAAGTCAGGCCATCTGTAAGAACCCAGGTGACCATCAGCAGGAGAAACTCTGTGATCTTGTTAGTGATTCATTCAGACTGAATCCTCCGTCTGGTCAAGATGCGTGTGAGCAGTACCGACACATGGAGGCAGAGAAACACAACACAGCCAATAAATACAGTATGAAGAAGTAAATGACAAAGTAAGTTCATATAAGTCCACCAAAATAAAAGCTCGAGCTAAACCTACTGATTAGAGGAGCTACACATCACCTCTAACAGTACTTTCAGTTCCCTGCTTCTACTGTAGCGCTACCATGAGGTTCACATTTTAGTTTTTGAGTGAAATACCTCAACGACTGTTTGGTGGGTTGTGATGACACGGTTCAGATATTTGTGTTCCCCTCAGGATGAACTGTGATAACTTTGATGATCCTCTGACATCTCCTCTAGCGCCACCATCGGGTCAACATTTTTCCTTGTCCAACACTTAGGTTTATGACTAAATACCTTCAAGCTAATGACATTTCCCATCAGCCTCAGCTGTACTGTGTGTTTAGTGCTAACTAGCAAATGTTAGCATACTAACACGCTAAACTGATATATGATCAGAGCTCTCGTAGCGTAGCAGGAAACTGTTGTTTCTATCTTGGTTTCCATTCATATGGAAACAGAATTAAACTTGTTGAACATCAGACATTTTGGAGGTTGGCAAGGTTTGAAGAGGTTCCAGTAGTCCTTAAAACATCCCAGTCCTCCTGGGATGTTTTAAACTGCTTTAAAAACTCATTCAGGTTGTTTGGACCAATTCTACATGTGTTTTAAATTTATGGTCTGGTCCCTGAAAGTCAGATTTTCTGCAGCAGGCTCAAGTGGTTGTACACATCCTTCAGGCCTGGAAGGTCTTCTTCGTTTATTAATGTGCTTTAGGAAGTTCCAGTGCTTCAGTAAGAGATTTCAGGGATGATTTTTAGTAGATTCTAAATGTTCTGTTTACGGCTTAATGGATTTGTTTATGATAGTTTACAGTCACCTATTTTAACCAACAATACGGCTGCAGGGTGAGCGCTGTTTCTGCCATTGTGTTTACTCTTTATACACACTAATGTTGAGGCTAATTTTCAGATGTTTTCAAAGCTAAATCTGCTCATGGCACAGCAGTGGTTGAACTGAAGGGACAGTGTTGTTGTCAGGCCAGTTTTTCTCACTAAACACCCAGAAAACTAAATGATTGTGATTTCAGAACAAGCAAAAAGGCTCTCCAACAGGTGCAGTAGCTGTCTCTGGTGACTGGACTGAGGTTTAAGACAGTGGTTTGTGTGGAAGTGACACAAGTGTCATCTAGGTACAACACCCCAAGCTAAAGCTAACACAGTGCTACAGTAAATCCTCCTTCTTGGTGTCCAGTTCTTGCTCAGGCTTCTTCAGAGAAGTGTTGGTTAAATGAGGACTTGCTGCAGGACTGTTGTAAGACTGCATGTACCTGATAAACTGACTTCTGTACAACAGTTGTGTCATTTGCCTTTTGTTGTAGTTGTTGATAATGTTGTACAAGCTCTGTGCTTTTTGACGTTTGTCTTTGCAGTGATTGGAGTCGTTGTGTTGTCAGTGTAACAGGTACCACAGGAATTCTCTAAAGGATAAAAGCTAGCCACCTGGCGACGAGGTACGGCTCCGGGTATTTAACAGGCCCCTCAGCAGGTGTTGGGAGGTGGAAAAAACTCCTATGAAATGGTGGTAAACTGCTGCAGCGAGTCGGTAACACTGGCAACACAGATTAATACATGTGTACTCTGTGTGTGCTTTATGTCGACACAGTGAAGATGTCAGACAGCTCAGCAAGCTGTCCACTGGCTGCACCTTCTTCCGCCCTCAGCGCCACTGGAAAGCAGAAAATAAACTGCGATGCTCTTCCTGTCTGAGAGGCCAGTCATGTGGAGGATGTTTGTGGACAGACTGCTTCCTGCCAGCAGACGCCAAGAACTGCAGGCCACGCTGCAGCTATTTCTCCAATTAGTCTGGTGTTTGATGGGGCTGTGTGCTCTCAGAGTTCAGCCCATGTGCTTCTATCAGTCAGCCAGACCCAGCTCAGTGTTGTTTTACTGCAGTCACCTCCTCCTGATGATTTATGTGAATCACCTGCTGTGCTGCTGGAGTGGAGCTGTCTCTAGATCTCAGCCCACATCAAAGCATCCTTACCTCCTCGGTGGCAGAGAGCAGAGATCGAACAGAATCACCAGCCTGGGAGTGAAACTGACCTTCATCCGCCCCTCCC